TTAACCCGTGCAAACACTCTAAAGAACTTAAATGGGGAAACTGGGGGAGAGGAATACTGTGATGCTGAGACCTGGGGGTCATCTCATCGCACCCTCGTGCACGATGAGGGGGTGCTCTAGGAGCTGCCCCGCCCTCGTGCACGATGAGGGGGTGCTCTAGGAGCTGCCCCGCCTTCGTGCACGATGAGGGGGTGCTCTAGGAGCTGCCCCGCCCTCGTGCACGATGAGGGGGTGATCTAGGAGCTGCCCCGCCCTCGTGCACGATGAGGGGGTGATCTAGGAGCTGCCCCGCCCTCGTGCAAGGTGCCGTGGTGTGAGGAGGTGTCTTAAGAGCTGGTGCTTGGTTCCCAACTGTCCCGCCCTGTGTCCCGGCAGTGCCGAGGCCTCGCCCGCGGAGTGCTGCCAGCATGCCAAGATCTTGGAGGACACGCAGTTTGTGGATGGCTACAAAACCCTGGGCTTCCAGGAGAGCATCTATGGGGAGTTCCTCAGCCGCCTGCGAGAGAACCCGCGGCTCGTGGCGTCTTGCCTGGTGACTGGAGAGAAGCTAAACCAGGAGCACACCCAGGGGGTCACGCACACGGTCTTCACCTCCCTGTACGGCAACTGCATCATGCAGGAAGACGAGCACTACCTGCTTCAGGTGAGGAGCCCTGCTGCCCTCGTAGGTCCCCTGCGTTCTTGGCACTGCTGCGAGACCCCGCAAAAAAATCTTCTCATTACGATTTTAAAAAGACAAAGGGGGCTGCATGTTTCTGAAGGGCATTTATATGAAAAATAGATGTGGTCCATAACACATCTGAATGTATTAATGGAAACCTTTGTGAGAGTGTGCATTTATTGCCATCCATTAACATGATATAAATTATTCAGGGATATGCGCGTACTGAGGACATAGGAGTTGGTGTGAAAAGTATGCTTATTAATGCAGTTTAATAACCCACAAATGTAAGTGCTTCCATTACCGCTGTTCTTACAATGTCTTTCTTGATGTTGTATTTGGCCAGGATTAGGCATTGTGTCACTCAGCCTAATTTTAGTTCAATGCGTATTGCACTGCTGCTGACTGGGAATTATGGTGAATGACCAGGCACTGACAAACCAGATGTCGTTGTGCAGCAGCTTAGAGTAAGTTTCTTTGGAAACAGGCAGGTCTCTTACAAAGCCCTCTTGTGAAGATTGGATAAAGCCCTACAAGGAGAATGAGCCCAGTTATGATAACCACACTAGTGTTTTTCAGCAGGTTGCGACCTTGTAGCTTTCTCCCGTCAGACCTCAGAAGCTATTGGAAGAGTGGTCAGTGCTAGTGTTTCTAAGGAAACACCAGCAACCTGGTTAAGTGGTCCTGGTGGACCAGTAGGCGGTGCTCTTCCCTCTGGACCAGTATTTCCAATCCAGTGTCCCCGTACTGTGACAGGTGACACTGTGCTTTAAGACATGTCCCTTGTGTGAGGCTTTAAAATGAGGTCCTGACTGCTTGACACAGTCTGGCACCACTAGCGAATTCAACCTCAGTTCCTCGCTCCCACCCGCCCTCCTGATCTGTTGTTCTCGAGACGGGATGTGAAGGGGCCTCCTGGGGCCGGTGGTCGGTGCGATGGCGGTGGATTGACGCTGCCCTGGCTCTTTCCCCCAGGTGCTGCGCTACCTGATCGAGTTCGAGCTGAAGGAGAGCGACAACCCCCGGCGCCTGCTGCGCCGCGGCACCTGCGTCTTCAGCACCCTCTTCAAGCTCTTCTCCGAGGGCCTGTACTCGGCCAAGCTCTTCCTCACCGCCACCCTGCACGAGCCCATCATGCAGCTGCTGGTGGAGGACGAGGACCACCTGGAGACGGACCCCAGCAAGGTGACCGAGCGCTTCACCCCCGCCCAGCAGGAGCGGATGTTCGGCGACAAGGGCTCCGAGGGCTACCGCCGCAAAGTCCAGGAGATGGTGGAGTCCAACGAGGCCAAGCTGGTCGCCCTGGTCAACAAGTTCATCGGCTACCTGAAGCAGAACACCTACTGCTTCCCCCACAGCCTGCGCTGGATTGTGTCGCAGATGTACAAGACGCTGTCGTGCGTGGAGAGGCTGGACCTGGGCGAGGTGCGGACCATGTGCACCGACCTCCTGCTCACCTGCTTCATCTGCCCGGCCATCGTCAACCCCGAGCAGTACGGCATCATCTCGGACGCCCCCATCAACGAGGTGGCCAGGTTCAACCTGATGCAGGTAGGAGGAGGGTTGCCAGAGGCCGCGCGTCCACCCAGACCAGCTCTGAGACCGCCGAATGCGAATTTTAGAGAGGTTTTACAGCACAGGAGCCATTTGGCTCATGTGAGCGCTTGCAACCGATCGATACCAAAGTGCTAGTACAACACATGCAAACATGAACAGGAGATTATTTCTTCTGGATCCAAAAATATTGTTAGTTTACCTCTTAGCGATTTCTGTTTTGTTTTGAAGAATTGTATAGTCCTTTCCTCAAGCGCAAATTTGTGATTTTGATACGATTCCCGTAGGGTTGCAGTCTCTGCATGCTTCTGTGCCTAAAAGCTTGTGGGGAAAATTGCCATTGGTTTGAAAAGTTTTGGAAGGCTGCGTTTTAGCAGTGTTCAGACCTGTTTTTTTATCACACTGTCCTGCTCAGCTCCTCTCCTGTCCTTGTGCTCTTGCAGGTGGGGCGGCTGCTGCAGCAGTTGGCCATGGCGGGCACTGATGAGGGGGACCCCCGTGTGAAGAGCAGCCTGTCCAAGTTTGATAAGGTAAGGGCTGCATGCGGCCAGCGGTGCTCACTAACGTCTGTGTAGGTTGTTGGAGCAGTCCCTCTACACAGTTTACCCACACTGTTGGAGGTCATCTTTCTCATTGCACAGAAAGAGGAGCTTCTGACTCAAGTTGCATGCATTTAACATGTCCCCCTATCCACTGTGGGTAAGTTCTTATGACGCAGTGGTCTTCGAGAGAACTAAGTGCAAGATAAAAGCTTGTTCTCCTTCATTCAGTAATTGAAGTCGATCTAAATTAAAAAGATCTCCTCCTACTGCAGTAGTTTAATTTTCTTTTTCACAAATTACACACATTACATTACGGCGTCCAGTTGTTTTTAAAAGAACATGCCATCTCTTCAAAATATGATTTTAAAATTGGATTCGGGAGTTCTGGGAGATGTGACTGGCAAAAAATACACAAGCCACTTCATTCTTGTTGGTAACTGGCTGGCGTTTTGTGTTCCAGAGCTGTGTCGCTGCATTCCTGGATGTGGTGATTGGTGGGCGGGCAGTGGAGACCCCGCCCATGTCCTCTGTGAACCTATTGGAAGGACTAACGAGGACTGTAGTGTACATTGCTCAGGGTCAGCTGCTAGCACTGGTAAGGTTCAGTTATTTCATGTTATTGTCATTAATGTACAATACACTCTGTATTTAAAGCTTTTCTTGCCAAAATAGTGGAGTATTCAATTAGATTGTTCTTTAAAAGATGTCTTATTTTTAGTCTCGTCACTGTTGTTCTTGAAATCAAAGTTGTTGATTTGCATTCACAGGTATAGTTTTTTTATCAATGGTGAATTACATTTCTGTATTTAGCCATAAATCGGATCCATCCCATGCGGAGATCCTGTATTTTTTCTTCCCAGTTCGGAGGAATCTGTTTTTAAATGTATTTTTAATAAATGTCGGGGGGACAGTGTGTGCGGTCCTCATCCCTTCCATGTTGGTGTTGGAGAGCAGTAGCAGGAGGCAGAGCTGCTTAACAGTAGCTGAATCCAAATGGTTGTAATAATTTGTCTAAAATCGGGATTAGGAGAATTCGCTTGCGCTCGGCCGGTCCTGACCGGTTGCTGAGGTTTGTGCGGCCGTCCTGCAGGTGGATTTCGTGCGGAACGTGATGTCCGGCGACCAGCTGCGCGAGGAGGAGAGACTGGCCCTGGAGACTCTGCTGGCCAACGTCCCGCAGTCCCGGCCGGGCAAGAGCAACAGCCTGGAGCTCACCCCCTCCAACACCCCCCAGCTCTCCCCCGCCACCACCCCCGCCAACAAGAAGAACCGGCTGCCCATAGGTACCTCGTCGCCTGTGGCCGCCGCGGAGCTGTGGAAGGGTTTCTGGCGGTGCAGTCACATGCCGTCTTGAAACAAGCGTCCCTTGAGGAAACGCCGTTTGTATCGAGCTGTGCTGTCGTTAAAGGGGGCTCCTTAAACTGTGGCGGTGCTCACCTCCTCCTTCCTTACAGCAGTTTCTATGGACGTCACCTAGTGCTGTCAATCGGACAAAAAGCTGGTTGTAGCAAAAAAAAAAAACAAGCCTCAAGCCCCATGCAGGGCCTGTTGGAGATGACCATGCATCAGCCTGGTGCTGATGCTGTAGGGTTGAGTATTGACCTGCTGTGGGAATGATGTGTTGTGGTTTTGTTTCTTTTGCAGTTTGGGTTCTCATTTTAATTAGGCACTGCACTGCAATGCACTAGCTGGGCATTGGGGTCTTAATTGTGTGCAGCAAAGCTCACAGCCCTTTAATTTGTTCTGTGAGCCAGGTTGGTCCAGTCCTTGAGACTGCAAGTCCCTTTAAGAATACGAGCTGGGAAAGGTTATGACATTGTTCACTTGAGCCAATAATGAGCTGAATTGGATTGAAGAGCTACAGACGCCCTGGCCCACCATGGTGGAGCTAGTGCCCAGAAATGCGATACTCTGACACTATTGGACTGCCATACCACTCCTCCTGTTTCCATTGTGTTTTGCTCTATCTATGAATTACATTTTTATTGATTCCTTGTAATCAATATTGGTAAATTTTTAAAAAGTCAAGACTTCCAGTGTTATGATGAAAAATGAGATGGGTTCTGAATTGACCCTGGGAGCAAGGAGCTAATGAGGTGTTTAGCTTAGGGCCGTAGAAGCAATTGCTGCATCTGGATAGCGGCACTGTTACAGGGGTGAAAACCAATTATATCGGGACACGCTAATTAACGCATTGCTTTCATTACGGGTGTAACTCGGAACATTCTGTTCTATTCCTAACACGTTGGTGGCAGATCCATATAAAAGCAGAGTATCTCCATAACATCGCGGCAACTTCTTCTCCAGGCGAATTAATACGGACTACAAACAAATCTGTTTTTAATGGGAACGATTTCTCCAGCATTCGGGAAAGTTGTCGGCTGTTTAAAAAAAAATGTAAAAAAATGAGAAAATGACACGTACACACATCACCGGAGCCCTCGGTGATACAGTTACCACACAGACCAGCAGAGGTCTCTTTTACTCCACTTCGTCCTGGCTGATACGGAAGCAGGCAGGTTCATGAACAGGCTCGCAGGTGCTGTGCAGTGAGGTAGCCTGAATGCGGGACATCTTTAAAATAGAACAACCTGGTGCGACGGCTATCCCACTTCCAAGAAATATTAAATGCGACATATGACACAGCAGTGTCAGTTCACTATGCGTCCACGTTCAGTTTTTGTGGGTCTGCTATGTTTCCGAGCTGTCTTCTGGGCCAGTTCTGGAACATGAGGAGACCCGTCTCTGCAGATGGCCGGAACGCAAATGCCAGGAGTGTAGAGGAACGATAACAGGAGGGGGTTCTGAGTGGGTCAGCCGGGAAGGACCCCCGCTCTGCGTGCAGGTGGGGCCCCCAATCCAGACGGCTCCAGTTTGACCAGCGTCTGCAGCCAGCCGTGACTGGGACTCTCTGGGCGCCAGCGCGCGATGGCCCTGAGTGTTGCTGAGGCAGGGAGGGCGCTGGTTGACCAGGCTAAATTCCCAGGTTTGGGGAAAACCGCAGCTTCCTGCACCACATGTTGCCAGATAAAAGATGGCGTGGACCCCGTCAGAGGAGACCGCCCGCAGGTCCTCCTTCCCTCCGCCCGCAGCCGAGTCATAAACTAGACGCGGTGATGTCTCGGGGCGACAGAGGTGTGGCATTCGTTGGCAGATGCCAAAGTTAAAACAGGAATTGAGAACGCGGCCGGCGGTGTCGATGCTCCAAGGAGTCCCTTGTATCCCGAAAGTGAGACGGGAGGAGTGCAGCACAGTGGTATTGAATCCGAAACGGCAGCTGTGCTCGATGGGATGGTTTCCGATGCCTTGGGAACGGGAGTGCTGCCCACCGGGGCATGGCGAGCGTCCTGTGCCGCTCCGGCGCGGCAGCTCGCGGCGTGACGTGACTCGCCGGGGCCGAGCCGCGTGCCGTAATTCTTTCCCTCTGTTTTTTCTGTTTCTGTTCCTTTGCTGCCAACACTCAGGACAACACTTAGCAGCTATTACCTGCTGGGATCCCTCCTCCGCCAACCTGTCTGCACACATTCCCTTAGTAACCCCTTTCGGTGGGTAGAGCAGGGTCCCGCCCTGTGCGCGCCATCCACCGCTCTCCCATCGGCTGCTCTCCCCTCGGCTCCTCTCCCATCCACCGCTCTTCCATCGGCTGCTCTCCCCTCGGCTCCTCTCCCATCCACCGCTCTTCCATCGGCTGCTCTCCCCTTGGCTCCTCTCCCATCCACCGCTCTCCCATCGGCTTCTCCCCCAGGCGCCTGCCGCTGCTGCGTCGCTCCATCTCACTGCAGCTTGTCCTCGAATGGCATGCCAGGCTTTTGTCTGTGACCGTGTGCATCCGTCCACCCTGCAAAAGCCCTGGTCAAGAGCAAGGGAAAGCAAGGTCCAGCGGTCCATTGTGCGCAGGAAGCGCTGGTGTGGAAGTGCATGTTAAGCTCGTGTTTATAAAATCGGCATGGGCATCTCTCATGAGAGGATTAGGGAATTCGTACTCCACACCCGCAGTGCCAGGTTTTGAATTTGTGTCTTCTTCCTAACATTTGAACATTTTCATGTGAAACCTCAAGTGGGGAAAAAATGTACAGTTTTGTTGAATTTGCAGTTATCAAGGTGTTTAACTTGCACCTGTCCTGTTACGTTAGCACGTCCAGCCAAAACAAAATGAACTTTTCAAAAAGGGGGAGAATTAGTCTTACCGTTCCAAAACCGTGTTGGGCTTTCCAACAGCGGATCCAAGGTCAGCCTTGCCTCGCTTGTAAAGAGAAAGACTTTTCACAGCTACTGTCTTAAGTCAGCCTGTGCTAGATTTCCACTAGGAAGCACAGCTGGAAGGTGAGTGACTTAAGAGTGGAGTAGATTCTCCCTGGAGAGCAGAAAACCACAACCTCTGTGAAATGCATGCCAAGCTTTCTGTGTCCTTGGATGTTGCTGCACTTTGAGTTTGGCATGCACCCTGTGATGTTTGTTTGTGCTGCAGGCCTTGTGTTGCTATAGCTGTATACTACATATATAGTTTTGTACATAGTTGTATAAGGAAGAACTGCTGGTAACAGATCATTTAAGTATGTGTGATGAGAGACACTGCTAGAGAAGACAGAAGTCCAGACATGTTATCTCTACTTGCAGGCTTCTTTCATTTAAATACATTTTTTAGGATGGTTAGAATTTGTGAGCATGTAACAATCGCAAAACGTGCAGGGACAGTGAATAACGCACAGTGTTTCAAGAGGGAGGCAAGGTTTCTAAGCCTTGGCAAGGGCCTGCGTCAATTGTGAGATTGCATTTGCGGGCACTCCTGGCCTGCCTGCTGACAGATTTAGTCCATCGGGCAAATGTGTAGATCTCAGTCAAAACCGTATGAAAACAAAATGCATGGTGAAACTCATGATCTCCAGAACAAAAAATCGTGGAGTAAACGTGAAATGAGGAGCAAGGCATAACTGGGATGAGCAGGTAGTATGTCAAGGTGGTGGAGAGAAGAATGGAGTCTGATGGGTTGAAATTGGCAAAGGAAAGATCTCAGAGTAGCACCTGGATTTGAGCTCATGTCACACTGAGCCGTTGACTCAGCAGGTCATCTGTTATCTGCCAGCAGTGCAGTGAAACATGTTTGAGTCGTTTGTCCTGTGATGCCATGTGGCTGGAACACTATGCTAGGGGTCAGTATAACGTCCTGTCCTCTCATTGCTTTGTAGCTGCCTCGCGAAGCCGCAGCAGGTCTAATATCGCGCAGGACCAGCAGGGGGAGCTAGAGGCCTGCTCCCAGGACTCCCTGCAGGAAGTGATGCCAGAGGAAGTGCTGGTCATCTCCCTGGGCACCGCCCCTCAGACTGTTCCGGGGATGATGTCAGAGAATGAGGTAATTCTCGGAATGCAGGGTCGCGAGGCTAAAAAACGGGTTACAAGTCCATCAGCTTTTCTTTGATTAGTGTTTCTCTGTCTTGGAAGGAAGTAAATCAGTTTTCTGCATGCGTTTCTGCCCCTTTAATATATTTAGAAGATGCACCTGTTTAAAAAGTAGATAGGAGATATTTGGCCGATGCTTTTGTAAGGTTTTGCACACCCCTTTAGTTTCCCTGCTGTTGGATTTTATTTTTCTTTCTCACGACAGATTGCTGTCTTCTTTTGGGTAAAGTTTCTTCACTATCTGTACTGCCAAACACTTCTCAAAAATCCTAGACCATCTGTGGAAAACAGTTGCTGATGGAAAGCCAGGCAACTGCCTGCTTAAAAATATAACAGTCTTAGAGCCCCTAAAGCTCCTGCTTACTTATCTAAACGCATCAGGGCTGGTTCCTCTTGGGTTACCATGATACATTCATGCTGGGAGGCATTTACTGGATCGGAAAGGAAGAGCTTCTCTGTGTAAAGGTGTCGGGTAGAAGGTGTTGGTCTCTGCCACTTTCAGGTGTTGACGCTGCAGATGGCGGATGGTGGGCAGGGAGAGGTTCCTGTGGACGACACCAAGCTGCACGGCAAGCCGGACAAAACCCTGCGTTTCTCCCTCTGCAGCGACAACTTGGAGGGGATATCCGAAGGTGCGTGTTCCAAGGCAGCCTGTAGATGGCAGCCTTTCCCTGCTGAAAGCTCTGCAGGGCGCATGCAGAGAGGGTTGATGTCAGAGGCACAGCAAAACAGTCTGAAGGAAAATGCTGTGCACTAGCTTGTACTCCTGCTTCATGGATAATCACTTATTGATTAGTGCAGTTTGGATTGTTTGGCATCGGTGTAGAAGACACCAGTAGTGACGGACTGGGAAGTGGATTGCCGGTCAGATGCAGGAGTTCCGTTGGCCGGGATAAATGTCTTATTCTTTTCACAGTGCAGTAGAGGTGTGCCTTTTGTCTGTTGACTGTGTCGGGCTGCGTGTTCACAGGGCCCTCCAATCGCTCCAATTCGGTGTCCTCGCTGGATCTGGAGGGCGAGTCGGTGTCGGAGCTCGGGGCCGGACCGTCGGGGAGCAATGGAGTGGAGGCGCTGCAGCTCCTGGAGCACGAGCAAGGTGCGCCAGACCTCACCCCTACTCGCGCCCGTGACTTCTGGTCAAAATATTAAAACAGATCCGTGGGATTCAATTGCCCTCCCAGCTTGTTTGAGTGATGCTGACTGCACTGTGAGTGTGCACCTACCCCTCATACTAATAAATTTGTAAGGTTCTGCAGTCAGTTGCAGGGTGGGTGAGTGGCTCTTGGCCAACCTGACACCCCTCAAACAAAGCTGTTAATGAGACATCTGAAAATCCACTGTGTGTACTTGGCCAGTCCCGTGTTAAGAGGCAGCCCTGTCCCTAGGGTTAACCTGGAGACAGTTTAATCGAACCCTGGACCCCATCTGCCCATCTGTCATACTGCTGCCAAACCGCTGTTTGATCCCCCTATTAAATTGGGGGGAAAATGCTATTTGACTTTAGGTTTTATAGGTCACTATACTTTCACTGAAGTGCATTTCATCAGTGATCGAGTGTAAAAGACGTTAAGCATAATGTTTTATAAAGTCTAATGCTTTGTACAGTACGTCTAATTAAGAAAACAATTAGGTTAGTCGTTTAATTGATGAGTAGGCTGGACAGTGAACGAGGCCCTCTAGGAATTGAATCTGACATAACAGGGTTAGGCTCTGGTGACAAGGGCATTTTCAGCTGCTATTAAGAAGAGCCATTTGCTGTTCATCATTTTAAATGCAGTTTCCATACTACATCTTGCTGTTCTTTCATAGTAAAAAAATAAACTTCATCGTCCATAATTTTGCTTTAAAGCTTCAGCATGAATGTTCCATGAAAGGCACCCCTGCAGCTGTAAAGAAAAGGCCTTTCTCAGAGCTGTGATGGGCTGTGGTCCTGGCAGGCCAGTGCGCCAACTTTGTGCTCTGCTCTTCTCTGCAGCCACGACGCAGGACAATCTGGACGACAAGTTAAGGAAGTTTGAGATCCGGGATATGATGGGGCTGACAGACGACCGGGACATTTCGGAGACGGTTAGCGAGACCTGGAGCACCGACGTGCTGGGAAGTGATTTCGATCCCAACGTGGACGAGGACAGGCTGCAGGAGATCGCTGGTGAGAACGAGCTTGCTTCTTTACCCAGGCTCCTCAGCAGGCACCGGTCAGGCCCTCCGGTGTTCTACAGCCTTCCCTGGTTTTGGTTCCCAACTTGTTTCGGTTCACAAACCGATATTTTCAAAATGGTCATCTGTTTGTGTCGCGCTTATCGAAACCACGGGTCCCCAGTTCTTTTTCTAGGTCTCTTTAAAGCAGCAGCATCCGAAGCGCTGGGCGAAGCAGTTATACTAGTCCACCGAAGCCAAGAATGAGCTGATTCAGATTATGAACGCAGCTGGACTGAAACCCTGCAGACTACAGGACCGGGATTGAGTTTGCTTCCTGCCTTCAGGATTAGTATTAGCGATCCTTGCTGTAGACAGACTGGGCCTCCAGGACCAGGACTGGGGATCCCTGCTGTGCACACAGGGGACCTCCGGGATCAGTATTGGTGTTCCCCAACTTAAACAAAGGACACGTGCTGGACGTCCTGCTGCCTAGAGCACAGTGTGCAATATCTCCGCTTAATGAAGTGAATGGACTGAAGGATTGGACAGAGCATCATCGAAGCTCTTTTGGGATACGGCCGCTGCAGAGCCTCTCGGTGGCAGTGTCTTGTGCAGGAGTAAGCCAGTCAGCTACAGAACACCACAGAGCAAATGAGGGCCTTATTTTAAGGGTTAAATTTACTTTCAAGTTCTTTTTTTAACTCCGTTCCACTCCTAGTAAATACAAATGGCTGCTCTTTATCCTTTTTAATGAAAAGGAAAAAAAACATTTAATTAAAATTGTTACAGACGAAGAAGGTCTCATACGTGCTGCCTCTTTAACTTTAATATTTAGGTTTTTATCATTTTAAGATTTTTCTAATAAAGGCATCAGGTGCTAGCCTGCCATCTTGTGGTAGATTTGTAATACTGAGTCTCCTTTAATTCAAGTACACAATAACTAACAGACGGACAGCTGTTCTGTGGGAGAATGTCTTGGAGATCCGCACCTCTAAATCGGGAGTAAATTGATCATGGACAATAGCAAACTTCCAGTCACCCCTCTGCTGATCAGTTAATGTAACTACACAACTGTCCCTCTCCAAGACATCCTGGCTGGTGCAGAGCAAGCAGAACCCAAGCAGCTACAGTACATACAGAGCGTAAAGCATCCAGCCCGCCTGCGTGGCTGTTAAAATTGAATGTTAAAATCAATGTATTGCTGCTGGAAGTGTTGACCAAAACTCGTAATGAGTGAAAGGCAGATGTCGTTAATCTAAGATACACATAAGTTAGCTTGAATCTGGACATGCTGCCTGCAAGTGTGTCAAGCTGTGGAAAGTCAGTGTCAAGGAGAGGAAACTCTTCAACCAGGAGATGCAAAGCTGAGTAGAGAGCCACTCGGACGCAAATACCCGGCTGTTTAGACAAAGGACAGATCAAAAGACGTGGAAAGCTAAAACCGAGACGGAAAATGGAGACCATAAAAAGAAAGATTTTACAAAAGACATGGCAGATTGCAGAACGTAGCTGTAGAGGTGCATCTCCGTACAGATGTACGCTAATATTGTTTCTCGTAGCGTCTGCAATCATCATGTTCAATAAAAAGAAACAATCCAGCATGTTAATCTCGTTTTATCACCCCCTGCTTTACCCCCCCACCCACCATTACATTAAACCCTGACATTCACTCGCTCTCTGCAGTGTTATTGACCTTGGTTCTTTCTCGTCAGAGGCTGGCATTTTTCATTCTTTGGAATATGGCGTTCGGGGACTTTTCCATCATTAAGTGAATTTACAGCGATTTCCTTATGTGTTTTCTCCAAGGGATTTGGTTATGAGATGCACATTAAATATCCATTAATACCTCATTATCCCACTGATAAGATTACCATGATAATGAGGCAGAAATTCTAATTGTTTCACTTCTTGTTGTGCCACTCACTTAATCACGAGCCTGAAAGATGGAGCTGCGTGCCCCTGCCTTGAAAACTGTAAACAGCGACAGCGGGGCAGGGTCCGTGTCACCTCGCGCCAGCCCCTTCCCTGATCCTGCTCTTCCCGAGGAGAAGAGGCACCGACGACTCTTTGCTGTCCCTGTTCCCGACGGGGAAAAACGGCTCATCTGCCCGCTCTGTTTGTGGCTTACTGTTGTTGTACAGATGCTGGACTCTTAAATCGAACCCGAGCCGAGACCTTATTCTCCTCCGGGCCTTGCGTTCCGAATACATCCCGGAGTGATAGGACTGTTACAATGGGAACCGAGATAGTGGACGCGTTTGCTTCTGTGTTCGCGCAAACAGCTTGCCCAGCGACTAATCATCGTTATAGGCATCGGCAAGCAGGTCTGAATTCTGCGGCTCATCGGAGGGATGGAGGAGAGGGAAGTTCATCAGCCTCCTCGGAGGAGCATGCAGGAAGTTGGCAACAGTCAGGCCTGGACTCGGGCCTTCCTGCTTATGAGCTGATTGCTTTTAGCGCTGGGCCGCATAGTCTGCTGTAAAAAAAGACCGATATTTCCCTCTGCTGGGTGTGAAAGAGGGCGCTCTTAGTGATGTTTTTTTTCCCCCCTCTATTTTCCTCTTATCAGGAGCGACTGTGGAGAACATGTTGGGTAGCCTTCTGTGTCTGCCGGGCTCAGGGTCGGTTCTGCTGGACCCGTGCACCGGATCTACCATCTCCGAGACGACCAGTGAGGCCTGGAGTGTGGAGGTGCTTCCCAGCGACTCGGGTGAGTCCAGGATGCTGCAGTGCGCCCCCCGTAGGAGTGCTGGGTTGTGGGAGTCCCACCATGTGGGAAATAAGGCGACTTTAGGAAGAGGGTGTGTAAGTGCACCACATCCCCAAGCATGAAACAATACATGATACTACCGAATACTTGGTGTCTTTTATCTGGTAGCTTGCTGTCTCACGCAGGGCACAGTTGCAGAAGGCTGGCTTTGATTGAATTGCCAAGTCTCTTCGGCAATTGCCAGTAATTTTGGAAGAGCGTTGTTTTTGTGTAGCGGGGCTCCTTTGCAGCTCTGCCTTCACGTCTGTACGGGTGCGTTTGCGCACTGAAAGCTCGCTCTTTGTCGGCTCCCTCCCTGAGGATCTGCAGGTGCCCTCGCACCTGCAGTGAAAACCGCAGGTGGCATCAAACACTGGAGAAAACTTTTCATTCTACACTGTGTCAGCATTGTTGAGAATGCCAGAGTATTGAGTGTCTTGATGGCCTAGTCCTTTGCAGGTGTCTTGCAATAGAGCTGTTGCATGTGTTGGAGATGCACAGTTTGTAATAGCGTATACAAGGATTTTAAAAACGGAAGTACGTACAGAACAGCATCAAAAGTGATTGAAAGTGTTTGAGACCATAAAATATCTTTAAACAATTACTATTAACAATTCGAAAGGTTTCATGAACAAGAGTATTGAATTAATAATCAAAAATAAATGATCTTATAATTGTTGTTGCCGCATAATTCTTCTACATTAATTGAAGTACACAATTGCAATATGTCCAGAGCTGAAATCATATGCATGATTGGCCTGATTGCTTTTTCTCTCTGCTTGCTTCCTGGGCTGTGCACTGTAATAACGCTATCAATGTTTCGCCTGGAGCTCCCCGCTTGTTTTACGCTGCTTAGCCATGAAACAAGACTCAGAAGAGCAGTTCAGTTGCACATTATTACAAACGAGCATGCAAATTAATGCTCCGGTCAGTAATGAGATACTGTATAAAAATTCATGGCTTGATTTGTTCATTTTAAACCCTGCCGAATAGAGAGCATTTAGTGAAATACTTTATAATCACCCTTTCAAATAGAATGCTCTCTTTTATAATGATCACTACTTCCTGTGTGTATAGTGCAACCCTCTTAGGATAAAGCATTTACTGAATTGGCTGGGAGCAGATATATATACAGTTGCAGATGTGACTATTCTTCCCCTTTGTTCTAAAACGGAAAAGTGAATTGACATTTCATTGTACTTACAAGGTGTCAAAACTTCATGACTACAGTACAAGCATGGATATACACACCCCTGTATACTACAGCTTTACATGTTGATTCAGGCATTAAAGGGCAATATTAGTACAATACCTACACCCGGACAATTCTTCTGTTGCCATTAATGTCTCCAATTTAAATCAAGGTTTTGTGGACATTTAGGGTGTTGGTACAGTTCTATGGGTAGTAGCCTATCTGCACTGTTTACGAGAACAGGTGAAGTGCATTGTTCCTGACTGGCCTGTGCCATTAACTCATTGTGATCGGTGCTCCTGAAACGTGTGCCGTCAGGGTTGGGTGTGCCCGGTCTGCCCAGGGTGCCCTGCGCTTTGCCGGCTTGCGAAGCTGGCTGCGGGCGCCGTGGGACTCACGGGATCCAAGTTTTTCCCACATGGGACGGTGCACGTTCTGGAGGCACAGATACACGTGGTCTTCCAGTCTGAGGTGTGAATAAAAGACACTCCCAAATTTGCGAAATGGGAAAAAAAAGTAATTCCCCCATTAAAGTTGGTGCATTCCGATTTCTGCCGCCTTTAAGCTCCTTGTCGACCTCTGCAACTGTTCTGCACAGCTGGCTTTTAGCTCTGCCCCTCACCTGCAAGACTCCAAGAGCTGTGCCCAGTCTTTGTTAATGCGCCGTAATATCTCTTGGATAAATAACCAGACCCGCTCGAGGAGGGTTCATCGAGGCAGGAGGCTGCGGCCTGTGTTGCCGGTGCCTGCTCCTTCTGGGGCGCTTTGAAGTCGTGACCCGACTTGGCCAGCCCCCGGGGGCGGCGTGGGGCGCTGCTCGGCGCGTAGGCCGCGTCTCTCTCCCCCCCCCCCTTGCTGACAGCGTGGCCCGTTTCTCCTGCTCCACAGAGGCCCCGGACCTGAAGCAGGAGGAGAGGCTGCAGGAGCTGGAGAGCTGCTCGGGGGTGGGCAGCACGTCCGACGACACGGAGGTCCGGGAGGTGGGCTCGCGGCCGAGCACCCCAGGGCTCAGCGCCGTCTCAGGTAGCGCCGCCGTTCCGGCCCGGCCCGGCCCGGCCCGGTGCAGTCCTGCAACACGACCCGCTCCTTGACTGTGGCGCCCGATCCCTCTAGTTGGTTAAGTCAACAAGCCGGTTGCGGCGCACCAGTGGAGTGGAACACCAGGGCTGCAAGCCGTAATACGGACCCTCGCAGGCAGGGTGTTTCACAGTCACCAGCCATGACGTGAGCCCCTCTGCGTGCTTCCGCGTACTGCCCGGTCTTGGGTGGACATTGAAGCTGGCTGTGGCCTTGCTGGCCTGCAGAAGGCTGGTGCAGGATAGCGGCGCGCGTCTCCCTGCCTTCAGCTGTCCGGCAGCGCGGCTCAGGGCACAGGCCGGAGGGGGGAGCAGTGTCCGGGGGGGGGGGATTTGTTTTTTCGGCCGTGCGTCTTTGTTTTTATCGGGGAACAAAAGCAGTCAGTTCCGCCACACCTGACTGTTTTACAATCGGCAGGGCTGCGTGACCGGCGTTAAAAAGCCGGCCTGGAAATCTCCAGGGGTTCAGAGCCCCCGATCCACAGGCGTTTTTCAAGGTTGTTGCGTCCTGAGGTGATTAAGCCGTGGTCCCCCTGGACGCCCGAGGCGCTTCCTCAAAAGGGGTCCCTGAGGTGCTGGGAGATGAATCACCCCCAGTTGGTTATTTTCCTTACCATTAGCTTTCTTGTCTCCTTTTGTCTTGGCCCATGGGAGCACTGTGGCTAATTTAGCATCCCCATGGGGCTGCTGGTGAAATCGGCAACTGCACACGCAGCGCCACTCCAGCGGGCTCGGTGTCCCACTCTCCCGTTTCCCGTTTCAGGGCCCCTAACCTTGATGCCAGTCCTGTCTGTCGAGCTGCTACCCTTTTCAGCTGCTTTCCAGGTTCCTTTAGGAAAAAAATAGAGCCAGCAAATGAAAGTGCTCTGTTGGCCGTACCAGCTCAAGAACTACAGGCCGAGCTGAAGGAAAGCAGGTCTGCATTAATTAAATCGGTTGCAGCCTCAGACTTGGCCTTTGTCACCTGTGGCAAGGGCTGTGATCATTTCCTGTTGTCTGTTTGGACTAATAAAAAAAATCAGGATTTTGGATCCTAGGGATTTGGAAATGCAGTCGTTGTTCCCTTTGCAGCTGCTGGCAGATGTTGGCTGAATTCCCTGGTTCCGTGAATAAAATGCTTTCTTCCTCGGGCAGGTATAAGTGCAACGTCGGAAGATATCCCGAATAAGATTGAGGATCTGCGTTCGGAGTGCAGCTCGGACTTCGGAGGGAAGGATTCTGTGACCAGTCCGGATGGAGAGGAATCTGGACACGGTAGGGTGGCTCAGTGTCTTTTCTCCAGTCTCTATGCCTATGCTGCAGTCCAGGATGGTGTGATGTGAATGGGGAAAAATTACCGGGCGTTGTCTCTGTTTTGCTAAAGTCAAAAATATTCTTTTGATGTCACGCCTTCGGAAATGCAGATACTATGCTGTTTGGAGGGCAGCTGCGTTTTGCTGGGGCTATTTGCTTGGCTAAAATTTCTCTTTTCATAAGAGACAGTATAATACTAGACTGCCTTCTTCAAAAACAAAAAGCTCGCGTCAGCCCTTGTGGCCTGCTTTGTCACATGACCAGCGACAAAAACTAAATGTGTTGAGATGGTGCTAGCTGAGCCTATGAAATGAAGGTCAGGCTGTTCTGCTAGGCATACTGCTTGTATTAATCGGCATTTCCCTTTCTGTTGCCCAGGAGCACACCATCTGACATCGCCACCTTCTCAAGTGGACTCGCTGCTGGCCATGTTCGATCCCCTCGCCATGGGTGACGGTAATCCAGCTCCTCTGCTCTCGCCAGCGCGGACAGCCCCTTGATTCTGTGGCAAAACGTTTCTTCTGGGTTGGAAACGAGCATCGCTGACTCCGTCTTATGACGGAAACCTGAAAGAAAAGCTTAAAAGTTTTAAAATTAAAATTAGATGTGCAGTCATAGTCCTTTCCCTTGCCCAATTACTGTCCAAGGCCTTGCTTAGCTAAAATTAGATTAAAGGATTAAAAAAAAAAAGTTTTCCCATTCCTTGTGTTAAGGTTTTGTGTTACTTAGTGAATTTTTCTTGGACAGTCAGATTTTCCCTGATTCAGCATAGCCTTCCCAGCTTCCTAACCGAAGGGGGGTTGACACCTGCAGCTGATGGAATGATAGGTTGTGAGATCTCACCGCGGATGCGCTGGCACACAGCTCTGCCCCGCTGTGCTCCTGGCATAAGGCTCATTTTGGAAACTGCACCACCGCAGAAACACCCTCGGAAAAGCCTGTTTAGCTTCATCCTGGATGCAGAATTCCTGAGGGCAGGATGTTTGGGGCTCCCATGTTGTACCTCTCATTCTGTACAAAATGGGGCGCAGGGGGAACACATCCCACCCCTCTTGCTTGGCAGCTTGATCTTTTTAGGGGCTTATGATTTCTAAGAGATTATTCAAGCCAACAGAATGTAATTTATTTAAGTGTAAATGCTTATGATAGAGGCCCATAAAAGAATGTGAGACTTAACTTATTATTGTAATATATCTTCTGCAACTCACCATTACTGTCTTAAGAGACTGCAGTTCGGACAGATGTGGACCAGCTTGGTCTGCTGTGCAGTAAGAGTTTTATATTTCTCTGTTGCAAGATGACTAGACATGTGAGTCCAAGCGCAAACTTGACTTTGACTTGAATGGGGTGTACAGAAGGATTATAAAAAACAAGCCGAAGATTAGTTCACGAGCCAGAGTCCAAGGGGTTTTGCCTTTGGGGAAAGCACGCCAAACGTTTCTTCCCACGCCAGCTCAGCGGTGGTTCTTCTGAAACCTTCTCAGATGTGTCATTGTTTTATTTTGGGGTTCCTAGGATCTGCAACGTCCACAGTGGTCCGACCGAAGGTGCACTATGCCCGGCCCCCACACCCGCCCCCAGACCCCCCTATCCCGGAGGCGTTTGCCACAGGCCAGGAGCCCCGGCTGTCCATGTTCGTGCCACATGGGCTGTCGCAGGCTGAGCTGGAGCAGGGCAAGCAGCGCCACTCGTACCCGGACCGGCTGGTGCGCAGCCGGAGCTCTGACATCATGTGCGCCGCGCGCCGGCCCACCAGCGACCCCGGGCTGAACCGGCGGCCCAACCTGGAGGAGAGGGACCTGCCGGGGGGCGTCCCGGCCCAGGGCGTCTTCACCATGGGGCACAGCTCCTCCCCCAGCAAGGACTCGCTGAAGGGAGAGGTAAGAAACGGGGCGCACTGGCCTTGGGGTTCACCCACCTCTTGATGTGTGACTGCCTAGGTTTACACCATTACAGTCACTGCGAGGATCAGCTGTGCCGTCAGCTGATGGCTCGACCGCTGAGCAAACCGAGGAATCATCCAGGCCCCCCTCATCGCTGTTGAGTCACTTTCAAGTATACGTGTAGGATTCGGTTGACCATTTAAATTTTGATTTCTCATGCAGTTCTCCCGTGTGACTTGTAAATGCGTTTATAAGTGAGTCTGTACCCCTCCTCCCTTCTTTCCTCCCGTCTTTATATTACTCTGGATCTGTGAAGACGGAGAGCAGAGTCTCACGCTTGAGATCTATGAATACAATAACAGTGGGTAATTTCATATGCACAGGCGGAGGACAGAAAAGACAGCGATGATGAAAAGTCCGATCGGAACAAACCCTGGTGGAAGAAGCGCTTTGTTCCTGCAATCCCTAAAGGTAAGAACAGATTACAGACATGGCGAGCTTCCCTCTGCCTCTCTCTCTCCCCCTTCTCTCGTACTGTTTGCATAGAAGAAACCGCTCAAGCTGCTTTAATTGCTGGGTTGATATTTCAGTAACTTTCCTTGAAATTAGCGAGCTGATGCAGAGGTGATGTTTGGCAGAGGTACAGGACGTGCCGCTGTGACGAGTCACTGCTTCCCCTTCGGATCGCCTGAAATACCCAGTATTATTAAAACAACCATTTTCTTCAGATTCATTTCTAAAGGCAAGGTGTCTGAAGGAACAACCGCAGCTGTAGGGCAGGGGAGGTTTAAATTGGCTGTTCGGGGGCCCAGGGGGCGGGATTGCAGCCTCTGGGAGAGGGGCAGGCCGTGTGCGCGCCGTACGGCCGCCTCCTCAGTTAGCGCGGCACGGAAAAGCGCGACGCGTTTCCAGGGCCGTGAGGAATAATCTGAAGTAGCGGTGTGGCGTCTGTGTCGGGACGCGAGGCTTCATTCGAGTCACGAACGCGACGGGAGGAGTTGCGCGGCGGGAGAGGTAGAACTGCAACTGCGGTGCTGTTTTAGAAAGCTCCACCAGCTACCTGCATCCCGCTCTGAGTTACTGTACCTTTCGTAATGGGAGAAGCACGAGATCCTTCCGGGGGGCTCGCAGTCTTCGCAGCGCGGTGTGCGGGGCGGTGGCGCTCGCTTTGCAGGCAGTTCTGTCGCACTTGCCCTTTTACGGAGGCGAGGTCCTGTTGGGATGGGAGTCAGCGGCCAAACCCTGTTTGTGTTCCCCATGCAGTGCTGTACTGGGCGGCCGAGAGCGAAGCCACAGGTAACGTCTTCGGCTGGATGTTTCCGTTGAGCCGTCCTGGCGAACAGCCGGAGTCTGGGTGTCTGCTTGCGCTGCCCGAGCTGTCCCTTGTGGTGCTTTAACCGGCTGTGATGTGACACGGTGAAGGCCGGAGTCGTGAATCGACGCTGTTCCATTTTTCTACTTTTTTTTTTCAGTGTTTAAAAAAAAAAAAGATGTTTTTTAAAAGCCAAACAAAGGGCAAGGAGCACTTCAGGACCCGGGGGGCGGGGGGTGTGTGCTGGTGTCCCATTTCGGCGGGTTACTTTTAATCGAAAGCGTTCAGAGGTCCTTTGAAATGAGATCCGAGCGCCTTGCCCGCACCCCTCCAGCACCAGAGCTCCCGACTTCGGCAGCCAGCCGGCTCAAAGCAGAGCAGAAACAGTTCCTGCAAGTCCTGATGCAGGGTCGTGTCTGACCAGTACCGGGATTGACATCCCTGCGGCACTGCGGTTTCATACTGTATGTCCTGAGGGACATCCCACACCAGCTACAGCCCGCAGCTTAAAACGGTAACCAGTAGGCGCTGGCTTAGAATTTCATCTGACCAGGAGGGTCAGAGGGCTTCCCTGCACCCCTGCCATGTTTCTGGGCACAACACTGCCGATGGAAGGCATTTAAAGCCCCCTTTTTAAATTTACACACACATTGTTCTCCCCAAACAGCAAGTATCAACGAAAGTGCTAGTATAAATCATGCGTTTGCCGGATACTTCGGCAGCATCAGGCATTTATCGTGTTCTGCCCTCAATGGCACTATTTTTCACAGTGAGCGCAGAGATGGGACTCAGCCCAGTTTCAGTCCGTGAAAGTGATCCAGCGCTGTGGTGTAGCTCCAGAGCTCCTCTTTGTTTGTGTCTGCAGTTTTGTACCTCCCCCCACCTTGAAGACCTTTCGCTGTTGATCATCAGTAATGTTCTGCTCAGGCAGTCAGGCAGACAAAAATAGATTTGATGCTTAAAAATCATCAGCCACTGCCTTCAAGTGCCTGTGAAAACTTGGGGGCTCAGCGTTTTTCCTTTATTTTTTTTGTGCGGAACGGAAAAAATAAAGTTGGGCCTCAGATGATGAAGCGATGTTCTCGTTGATCGCCGTCCAGTTACTCACTTGTTTGCAACAGTGAAAGAACTTCTTTAGACATGCTGTTACTTTTTTCGTTTCCATGGTATGTACGATGTCTTTCATGGATGGCTTTTAAAAAACTGTGTCATCCCAGATTGGTTAAAATACAAGTGATTTCAGCAAAACTCAACTTTTAGTTATTTTAAATAGCTGGTCTTTATCTGTAGCTAAAATGATACTTGGTAATCATGCCTGGTTTTATCCAAAGCAGCTAAGAGATTAGCTGTGTAGGGATAAAACTGCTGTTTTGGAGTTGCACAGAGAAGATTCTCAGTTTTAGGCCTTAACAGAGAATTAAGGTATGTGCTCAGGGTAAACAGTTGTTTCAATGGCAGGGACATCTTGAACAGGTAATCTCCTACTCGTAAGCTCTTGCTTACTTGGAAATTTAGCTTCTGAGTCTTCTTTTTGAATGGCTTATTGAAAACTTTTAATACAAGTAAACCTCAAATTTTAAACCAAGTGTTATTCTCTCCCTCTTATTCACAGAACGTAATCTGTAAACTAACTTTTATCTATCCATGTAAAATGTGAGTATCCCGATGTGCAGCTCCTACAGCTGTAGAGTGTGTGAGGGTTCTGATGCGCAGCGCCTGCAGCTGTAGTGCATGTGAGGGTTTTGATGCGCAGAGCCTGCAGCTGTAGAGTGTGTGAGGGTTCTGATGCGCAGCGCCTGCAGCTGTAGTGCATGTGAGGGTTTTGATGCGCAGAACCTGCAGCTGTAGTGCATGTGATGGTTTTGATGCGCAGAGCCTGCAGCTGTAGAGCGTGTGAGGGTTCTGATGCGCATCATGTAGTGGGCTACTCCTACTCTTTCCCAGCCTGGGCTCATGGTTATCTTTCTCTCTTCAGGTCCGATGGCATTTCGAAAGAAGGACAAACAGGAGAAGGAGGATCAGGGTCCTGACCGTGTCCCTCTTACAGGTCTGCTCTCCAGTTTCAGTTTTAATTACGAACCGGAAGAACGCAGGCAGGTCACGAATTAAGTGCCGATTCTGACCTCTGTCTCCACGGGCCACCTGGGCTGTTTTCCCTTTCCTTCCTCTCTTCATCCGTTTTAAAGATGAGTCAGTTATATTTTATCTCAGACGTGGGGAAAATGTGACCGATTCCCTAGTGTTATTATCGGTCATTGTCCTGCAGAGTCCCTGCCGTTTCGTGAAGCGTTTCCTTCGCAGGAGCTCTCGAAGGAAATTGCTGTCGAGTTGATGGGTCTGGTTCTGGATGTTTCTGCCGGCCTGTGGCGGGGCACCCTGACCTGTGTGCATGATTCTGTGGGGCCCCTTGTCTTGCAGAAGAGCCGGTGTCCAGGTTAACCCCGCAGGTGCAAGCAGCAGAAGACATCCTGGACAAGTACAGGAACATCAAGAGGATGGGCCCCAGCGAGGGCGTGGTGTCTGCATCCTACGAAGGCCCTGGTCAGTGTGCACAGCACGCACAGTCACGTGCAGTGCATGCCCTTTTCAGCATTTTATATATAAATACACACGGATTTAAACAGTGTTTTGTAGTTATATTTTATTGTGGAGAAATTATTGAAATGCAAATGCTAAAGATCAGTAAGGTTGACAACACCAGAAGTTAACAAATGAATTAGCCAGTTCTGGTGGATGTTCAGACTTTAGGGAATGTGAAGCTGATATCGGTGACCCAAGAGGTCGTGGGGTTGACAAACAGACATGACTCCCTCTTTTTCTTTTCCTGGTTGTTCCTCCCTGCCGTGCAGATACTGACAAAGCGAAAAAAGGGACATTTTATAGTATTTTAACTTCATGTACCTCTCTGTTCGAGATGCTGCGAAATCGGGGTAGGAGCTCGTAAAAGAATGTGGCTTCTTCACCCAGCAGCCTGCAGCTGTTACACACTTGTTCAAGTTTTCCGAAAGCAGTTCTCCTAACGTGCTCCTGCCGCCTGTCCAGAGCCCTGCGGGGAAGGGGAGAGTGTCCACGGACCCGCGCGCGAGGAGGCTCTGCAGAACATCTCCGCGGACGACCTGCCCGACTCCGCCAGCCAGGCCGCCCAGCCACAGGACTCCAAATTCTCCTTCAGGTCGGTTCGGGGCCGGGCTGCCCTCCGGTCTCGCTGCCACGCCAGTGCCCAGCAAGCCCCGTACGGGCCCTGGGGGGTGGGGGGGGGCAGGGCTGTGCTGTGCTTCGTGCCAGGAGAGCTGTGCAAGAGGCGTCCACCGGATACACGTTTCAGAATCTCCCGACGGTTTCATTTTGTGAACAAGCACTCGTCTGGTGTCGTCTTTGACAACGCTCTGAGTCAGGAACGGCGAAATGTTTGAGAGGGAGTTTAACAGGGTTATAAGGAAGTCTGAGGTAGCAGGTCTGCAGGGCAAGTGATGATGAGAAGAGATATAGGCCTTTAGGCTCAGTGTAAACGCAGAGTGTTTGTCCATTACCCGAGATAAATTCATCTGGCTTGCTGTGTTCTGCCCTTGGTCTTTCCATAGTAAAAACTCTGTGCTGTCGGGGAGGGGGTTAGGGTAGGTCAGACCGATCCTGCGTCTTTCTTATGTTTTATTTCTTTAGTGTCTCATCACTGGTGAAGTCATTAACAGCCAGTGAGATGAGATAATAAAACAGAGATTAAATGAGATGATAAAACCCGGATGACTGTACATCATGACGGCAGTTCTGCGTCTTCCCCACTTTTTTACTTCTTCCTGTTTGGGATGATTGTTTCTCCCGTTTGGAAATCGGGCAGAGCCGTTGGAGATGTCAGGACTGCAGCTCATTATTTTTCAATAGCTGTGGATTTCCTTGGAATTATAGTCATTTTGTTGTAGAGGGGGGCATTCACCTGCAGGAGTCTCCTGCTAATCTTCCTTCCTTGTGTTTCTCCCTCCCCTCTTCCCGACAGTGATGCCAAGAAGAAGCTGCGGATGGCCCTGTGCTCCGCGGACTCCGTTGTCTTTCCGATTCTGACTCATCCCACCACCAGGAACGGGCTGCCGGACCACACTGACCCGGAAGGTAGACGCTGGATCAAAACGGGCGTGGAGTGGCAGAGCGATGACGTTGGACAAAGCACCTTTAGGGCTCTTTAGATTTTATTGTGCACCTGATTTGCTTGGCAAACCTCACGCGCTTTCAGATTTTCACATTTGTATTTCTTGAAGTCTAAGAAATGATGCTGGTGAAGGTGGTTCACCAGGCGGTGGGTTAGTTGGTTTCCTCCAGTCCCTTCTTGATCCATTTTAGCGTTTTAAAAAATGTGAAAACGAAACAGATTTGATTGCTGGGCAAATTCTGAAGAAAATTCAGTCTGTTGTTGTTATCGTGAGACGTTTAAATGATGCTGGGAAAGGGCCGTCTCCTGGAAGAATTCCCATGTCACGATGTCTCCAGGGCGGTGGGAAGGCAACCCTTTCCTTCCGCAGGCCGTTAATCAACGGGACATTTGTTAATCACCGAAGACAAACGCGTACAAAGTCCGAGAAGCTAGGGCTCTGATGCGCGGCTCCTACCTCCTTGCAGAGAACGAGATTGTCTGCTTCCTGAAGGTCCAGCTGGCAGAAGCCATCAACCTCCAGGACAAGAACCAGATGGCCCAGATCCAGGAGACGACGCGCTGCGTGAGTCGCTTCGACAGCCGCACCTGCAAGAAGCTACTGGCCGCCATAGCTGAAGACTACAGGTGCGTGGCGACTCGGACGAGCTGGTTAGATCAGGCCCATCATTAACCAGTGCATTATAATAATAACAATTAATAATTCTCTGGACACACTCCACTCAAAGGACTCCCCTCCACCACCACCAGTGTGCAGCCCCACCTGGATGATGTGACAGTAGCCAGAGTGCAGCAGTACTCTCCCTACACACCAGCTCAGTGAGGAGAACAGAGTGATGAAGCCAGTTCAGAGATGGGGATTAAGAGGCCATGATTGGTAAAGGCCAAGGGGGAAATTTGGCCAGGACACTGGGGTAACAGCCCTAATGACCACGGAGAGTCAGGACCTTGCTTTTACATCTCATCCAAAGGATGGCGCCTTTTCACAGTATGGTGTTTGTCACTTTACTGGGGCATTAGGACCCACACAGACCGCAGGGTGAGCGCCCCCTACTGGCCCCTCTAACACCTCTTCCGGCAGCAGCCTTAGCTCTCCTGGGAGGTCTCTCATCCAGGTGGTGACCAGGCTCACACCTGCTGAGCTTCTGGGGGCTGCCAGCTTGGAGGTGCCGGGTGATGGGTGATACAGCTGCTGTATAAAAGACAGAGCTTTGCTGTCGTGACAGTGCCTTAACAGGCTTCTTGTCCCTGAAAGCTAGTGTCTTGATTCTGGGGGAGCCTCTGTGCTGCTGCTGCTGAGCTTCATCCAGCACTTGTATGCGGAGCAGGACAGGACATCCGAGGAGGGGATCACGAAGAAAGGTTTCAGAAACCTGTCCTTGCTGTTTCGGACACTCTTAAGGAGCGGATGGAATCCAGAATGTGGCCTGTCTGTGGGACTTGTTGGGTTAGGTCAGAAGAATGAAGAGAGACAACAGAGCTGTTCTGAAAAAGGCCACAGGTTAGAGGGGAACTGCAGTCCCAGTTTCTCGGTTATTAAATCTCTGAAAGAAAATTAAAAAAAAGACAAATTTCAAATGAAACGCAAAATTGTGAGCCGCCATGTTGTTGCAAACCCGCATTCAAATTCCCAGGAGTTGCGATTGTGATGCAGCCCTTCCCGCTCGCTAGTCACTGCACTGACTAATGTAGTGTGATGTAGAGCGAATAAGGACTCTTAACGCGCCTCTCCGCCGCGTCTCTCGGCCCCCCGCAGGAAGAGGGCTCCGTACATCGCCTACCTGACGCGCTGCCGGCAGGGCCTGCAGACCTCCCAAGCCCACCTGGAGCGGCTCCTGCAGAGAGTGCTGAGGGACAAGGAGGTGGCCACCCGCTACTTCACCACCGTCTGCGTCCGGCTGCTGCTCGAGAGGATGGAGTCCAGGATGCTCAACTTCATAAACGGTACCTTCTGTGTTCCCTGCATGCCTTCCCCTTGTCTCGGGCCCCTTTCCCCCCACAGTGAGGTCCGCACCCCGTTTTCTGTTGTAAACTAGCTGGGCGTGCCTCAGGACGGAGCCCAGGGGGTGTCCCAGTGTGGGGGAGCTGGTTCCACGTCCCGAGCCGTCGTCTTAAACACCTGAGGGAACCAAGAAAAGGGCTGGCAGCAGACCTGTCAGTTGTCGTGGTCCTCCTTTATGGTTTTCTCACTCTCCTGCCCTGCTGCTGCACTCTCACCAGTATGTTTGCAGTCGGCCCACTGGAGGGCACCAGAGAGCTTCTGCAAAAGATTTTTTGCTCTGAGAAATACCTTGCTGCCGCTGGACAGGACTGGGGTGTTGGGAAGGTTTTTGTTTGTAATCCTTGACAGCCTGTGAGCTTTTCTCTCTCTCTCTTTTTTTTTTTCTTTTCTCTCGCTTGAAACTCGAAACCAGCGGAACTCTGGTAGCTGATGAAATTCAGACCTCAAAGCCGGGTTGTCTTACAGAACCCCTGAGGTCTTGACTGGTCTTGTGCCGTCTCATGGGGTGCGTTTTCCATGCTGGAAGCGCAGAGATCTCTCGTAAGAGCCCCTCCGGCTTTGCTTCCCCTCCCCGCACAGCGTTCCAGGCCTGTACCGCCGCCGACGACAAGACGGCCGCCGTGGAGGACTTCCTGCGGGACCTGTACGGCGCGATGGCCCACGATGCCATCTGGCAGTACGCCAGCGAGGAGCAGCTCCAGGACGCGCAGATGGCCATCGAGCGCAGCGTCATGAACCGCATCTTCAAGCTGGCCTTCTACCCCAACCAGGACGGGGACACCCTGCGCGACCAGTACGTGAGCGCCCCCCCCGGGCCGCCCCTCTCTCGAGATGGAGATATATCGGCCCTTTACCTGTGCGGCTCACAGGCAGGGCGTACCCTGCCTCGTGGCCATTGCTTGCTGGGATTGGTCCCGACTCCCTTGCAACCCTGAATGGGAAGGAGCAGCTAGAAAAGGAATGGATGAAAGCCTTAGTATTTTGGGGTTCTGAAGGGAATGAGATGTTTATATTTGATGCCGTTAAATAATCTTCTGTTGACATAAAATTGAGGACCGAGTAACGATTCCTATATTTGCTGGCTTTTGCTGGTGTGATTTTGTATCCCTAGTTCCTTCAGGACTGAGCCCTCTGCTCAGTGAAAGACGAGCCTATCTTCACCTTCCTACTGCTTCTCTTTTTCAGGGTCTTGCAGGAACACATCCAGCGTCTCTCCAAAGTGGTGACGGCCAATCACAAAGCTCTCCAAATCCCCGAGGTAGCTTTTCTGATTGCACAGGTTTTTTACTCCTCGACAGATTACCTTTTAAATCTAATTGTAATCCACTTTCCTTTTAAGTGGGAGTCCATAGACCGAAATAAATTACTTATATGTTATAGATCAATCCAATGTGTTACCTTCATACTCTCAAAAGGCATTTTTGGGGGGCTTTCAGTCGGTAATGAGGCTTATTTATTTACTTTAACAGGCACTCTGCTTCTAACCAGATCAAAGAGAGCCACCTCTTAGGGTTTTGTTAAGCTTACAGAGTTTGATGGGTCATTCCATAGTCCTTGCAAATAAGAAAGCATTGTGGTTTGGTTGCAAATGGACTTTTGCATTAATGCATCTGAACTAATGCAATTGTTGAGAAACAATAAACAGCAAAAAGAAAGCCTCTGCATTAATACAAATCAGTAATGCTAAAGTGTCCAGTCTTGGGGTGGAAAAGAGGATATGCACTTTACATATGTTATAAGAATTCTAGATATAACTGTTTATGAACTGCAGATGAATTGAATTTATTGGAGCAAGAAGAGACTCATTTTTCTACTTGTATGCACAAGTTCATTAAAGTTGAGACAGATTTATTGGGGGAGCTGACACAGGTAGTTAATAAACAAGCCTGGCTATGGCCCAGGAATTTCATGTCTAGCCTCTCTGAGGTTTAAGGTTTCCTTCAAATTTTAGGTCAGAAGAGACTAAGCATTCTCAGGCTTGTGGATCCCCCCACTCTGCAGTCTTGAGAAAGCAGTGCTGGGCAGAAGAGTTCATCTCCAAGCATGTGAATAGAATTAAACTCAAAGAGACATGGGGATACAGAGCTGAGCTGACCTGCGGCAACCTATTTTTTTTTTTTAGTCTGTGTAGAAGAAACCTCCTAAAAGTGTTCTGTTTTTCTTTAGGGATATTATCAGCCACAGTCTTGGTTTCCATCTTACAAAGCGCGTCTTTGATGCGATCTGGTTGGGGAAGTACAGTCAGTGTAGAGCTAAACCCCTTGATGGTTTGCAGAATCGGCTGATCTGTGTGTGTGTGTGCGTGTTGTAACCGTGCCCGGTCTGTGTGTTTTCGGGACGGCCTGTGCCGGCTCTCCAGGTCTACCTGCAGGAGGCCCCCTGGCCATCGGCGCAGGCCGAGATCCGGACGATCAGCGCCTACAAGACCCCCCGGGACAAGGTGCAGTGCATCCTGCGCATGTGCTCCACCATCATGAACCTGCTGAGCCTGGCCAACGAGGACTCTGTCCCGGGGGCCGACGACTTTGTGCCCGTCCTGGTCTTCGTCCTGATTAAGGTGAGCCGGCCGGCGAGGCCATTCCGGCTCGGCGAGGCCCGTCCACGGCGAAGGAAACGTGATTGGATTCCGCTTTTTCCGTCTGACATTCCTGCCGGAAAGGGTTTTTCCACGCACTGCGTCCTCTTCGTCCCACTTCTACCTTATCTGTGTCAGGAGACGTTCGGTGTCGTCTGAATCAATCATCCCTCTTAAAACTGAAGTGTCCTCACAGCCTGCTTCTCTGTTGTTTTTTGAGTCGGTCTCTGAAATGATGCCTTTTGTTAGCAGGTGTGATCTGTACCTAAAATACGCTCTGTGACGGAGGCATTGGTCCTACTCAGCACAACTGAAAATAACCTGCTTGTTGCTCCTCAATTCAGACAGCAGACCCCACGTGCGGTTGGAAGTCATTTTACACATAGAACCGAGCTTGAGATGAAAGATGATCTCCATGCTGCGTTTTAAAATTCCAACTGGAAGCGTGTCAAGGATAAGTGAAACTTGATCGCTTTGTTTAGGAAAATTACTGTTCCTGCGCCTCTGCACATATTGTGCGATTATCAGTCCTCTCTGGTTAATTTTGTGTGCGGCGGATGAATAGTGAGTGTTGAGGAGAAGTGAAATAGTTTTCTCTGCACTGTTAGTGTGAAGTTTGTTCTCCTTGAGCGAGGATTCCAGGAATCCCACTACAGAAACTCATTCGAAGCCAAAATAACCCTTAAACTGGGGTGACACCTTCCCACCCAGCTCTCTGTGATTGGCGCCCTTCTTTTTCAAATCTCCTTGGTTTCCAGATTGATTTTTTTTTTTGCTTCGTCTCCCGTTTTCTTCCTCGCCAGCCTAGCCCCGTTTCACAAGGTTTCCTTTGTCCTCTTCTTCCACCCCTCAGTGCCGTTTTCCTGCTCTCTCCCCCCCTCACTAGTTTTTTTTTACTCCTTTCTTTCCACTGATTCAGCGGCGAGAATTAACCTCTACTTGTTCCTTTACGGTTTCCTCTGCCTGTGCTTCGCCCCTGCAGGCTAACCCTCCCTGTCTGCTGTCCACCATCCAGTACATCAGTAATTTCTACGCCAGCCGGCTGAGTGGGGAGGAATGCTATTGGTGGATGCAGTTCACGGCAGCAGTGGAATTCATCAAGACCATCGACGATCGCAAGTGAGGCAGAACGCCACCTGTATCGACAGACTGTTAGGGAGGAGCCAGGAGGCCTGTAGACCAGCTGCTTCCCAGCCCCGCGCAGAAGACCTGCTTCTCCAGCCTGTAATATTTGTACATAGAGTAGAGACGTTTAAAAAAGTGAAATTACGAACTATAAGAGACAAAGATGCAACTTTTACTCAAAAATAAAAATCAGCCAACCAGAAAAAAGAGACTAAGTAATTAACCTTGAACTTGACTAACAACACGGGTTATTTTCTTCTCTTCTCGCCGGTAGTCATGTTGGCGGGTTAGCGCTGCAGCCGAGCTTCGCGAGAGATTTCCAATAAAGGGCCGAAACGCGTGGAAAATGACAAGGGACCACGCTGCTTCTTCATGTGGTGGGGGGGGGAGTCTCTGCGGGGACGCGGTGCTTGTGGACGTCGCTCTGGTCATGGGGACAGCAGGACGTGCAGCCCGAGCCCGGGCACAGTCGCCTCACTCGATTGACAGGATAGATCCATCTAAAGAACTTGATTGCTATTGATCCGTCTCGGAAGGAGTGCCATGAGGTGAAACGCGGACAGGGCAGCTGTATCTCTTTCGTGTCAGTCGGAAGTGTGAGGAATGTAAATTACAAATCCATTAATTTTTTTTTAAGATGACTTCTTTGTAACGTATGCCTAAATCGGCGCAGAAATTTTTTTCTTTTCTTTAAAGTACTTCGTGCCTACTTAATGTTAGAAACGTGGGTTCACGTCCTTCTGTTGTGATAGCGTTTCCCGTTCGCGCGGCGTGTCTGTCTACCTGCGCGGCGAGGGCAGGGTGGCGGCGGTGCCCATGCCTTCTCCGGGTGGGGAGGGTCGCCTGGGTGTGCTGGGAGGGTCTCTCTCCACACTTACAGTGCACACGCAGGAGAGGCGAGGGTAGGGGCTGTCACAGGAGACGTGCAGGTCGACCCGTACAGCCGTAGAGTCTGGTGGCGGTGTTCGGCGCACACCTCACCAGAGCTGCACCTGGGGGAGAGGAGGCGGACGAAGGGAGGGGAACGTTTTATACAGCGCGTTTGTGTTTGTGAGGCTACCTCACCTTATCAAGCTCATCATCTGGAAGCTGCAGTTTGCTTTGCTCGTCGCGATTGACCGTACGGTTTTATTACTGCTGATATCTGGGGTTGTATTTGTACGTGTTTTTTTATTAGAAGTAACTGAAGCAGTCATTAGCCCGGGTGCCTCGCGTGCTGAAAACAGGCTTTCGGAGAGAAGAAAGGGGTTAACCGGTGCGTTTCTAACTGGGGTGTGATGATAACTTGAGGTATTTGCCCTCTGCCTGGAATAAAGACGCCTCTCTGTGTGAACGTGCCGTTCAGCCTCTGCAGTGCCGATCTAGCGTGAAGTATAGAGTTGAACAGTGAAGTCCTGAAGCAGTAGCCTATTTATTTTTACCATTTTAACCTAGACTAGAAATTTTTACCTGTTTTTACTGTTTCAGCTGAAGCACCTTTTTTCAAGATGTAAATAGTCGTAATAATCCGAGTGATCTCTATGTCCCTGGCCCTTTCAGAGGTGTTTAACCCAGTGGGGGTGCTGGATGCTGTGGAGACATTGTTCTCCTGCAGCACTCTTGAGCTCCCACTGCCTGCAGGTGTTGGACCGGTGTATGAAAGCCACGCCCCTCTGATATCAGCCCCTTACCCCTCGCAGCAGCTAGAGCACAGTCCTCTTTATAGCGTACACTTTCCAGTGTGGAGGAGTGCTTTCCCCCTACTGCTCATGTTTGAGTGAAATGCACTCAACGTTTTGAAGAATAAAACGCGCTTTGCATTTCAAAATATCTAAATGTATAGTACCATCAGCAAGCAAAGCTGTTTGTGTGTTTTTTTTTTAAGGGCTAGCACTTTCTGGCACCGTCCTGCACTTTAGCTTCAACGTTTCTTCTGAGAGGCTGAGCAGCAGCAATGCATCTGTCAGCGGTCAGCCAAGCTCACTCCCAGCCTTAACGGCACCGCGCGAATTTTTTTTTTTGTTAGTAGTTCAGGTGGGCAGCTGCGTCAGCATGCGTGGGCTGCAAAGGAACAAGTCACAGGTTTATTCCCGGCTGAAAAGAGAAGAAAGAAAACACAACGTTTCACCCGTGGAGTCTCACACTTGAAGAAGGCTCCACGGGTGAAACGTCGTGTTTTCTTTCTTCTCTTTTCAGCGGGGAATAAACCTGTTACTTGATCAATTTTTGTTTGCCTGACCCCGCGGTCCGCCGCGATGCTCTTGGGGACACACTGCGGCAC